TTTTTTTTTTCTAATTACCTTGTTAGGCGCTGTATTTTTAATACACGCGCACGATCTTTTTGTTGAGCATACAACAGCTTTCGGCGCATAATGCGCAAATCGTTCGCTTCATTCCGGTTGTTGCGAATGATGCGCACACCGCCCCTCAGCATAGTACTGCGCATGCCACCTCGATATGACGAGATATTACCGCGAGCTCTTGAAATGTAGCCGGTGCGCATGGGACGCTTTTGTATGCCCATTGGAGAACGGTGACGGCTGGTATTTGCATTGGAGTCATCTCTATCATTCCGGGAATTCGCACCACGATATGAATTGCTAGATGTATTAGCCCCACCAGTACTACGATAGTTCGATGTGGATGCTGATGAGACCATTGGTGGTGGAGGCGGCGGTGGCGTGCGATTACCACGTCCGGTTGATGAGTTGCGTCGATAGTCCTGTTGACGATGATGAGGATTTTTTTGGTTTTATGTATTCTTACAGAATTAACTATACACGGTTTTGAGCACTTATATTCTGTCAATTTAGTATTTAGATTTTTGTGTAGGTTTAAATGAGTTTCTATTTTATATTGTTTAGGAATTGGGTAAAAAGGGGAGGTATCAATGCGGCATTGGCAAATCTCCTAAAAAGCTCTTCGAGACAATAATATTAGATATAATCGATATGGGAATCGTCGCTATCATCTTCAGATTGTACTGATCTATTAATTTTGTAATTGTAATTGGACAGCAAAATGCATCGGAGGAATTTTTTACCTCTGCAGTTGTTCATAGCTCAATATAAATACATATACATATGTAATACTTTATTTACTCTCGATATTATCATCTTCAATTCTCGGCGTTTATCTCGAACTCAATGAAATTCATATAATCGACGTTCATAATGGCGGCGCCGCTCTTTAATCAAAATGTGCGACCAAGAGCCTTATCAGTGCCTCAGTATGTTAGGTCGAAATCGTGTCAACTCTGCCACACAGCACTTCCAGAGTTTCTCTCTGTGTACATACTCTGTTTGCTTTGGTGGCAAAGTTATAAAATGTTCTCAATCGATCGTTGCGAATGGCATATATATTTTTGGTTTCACGCCTTTCGAAATTCGACCTTTCTAAATATATTTCTATTCGTGCATAAATATATATAAAATATCAATGTTAATAGGTAAGATTATACAACTAAAAGGGAATATTGTAAACTCCCTGGTCAAAGTATTTCTTATTTATACCTGCTTCAATTAACATATTACTTACATCTTGTCGGGAACGCTTCCTATCATCATTACGATCGCGTGATGTATCCTATAAAGATATTTTTTTTATTAAAGCTTATTGAAATAGCAAACATTTCATCGCTTTATATACGTATACATATGTATGTACATAGAGTGAATCCAAGAACTTTCCAGTAATTTTTTAACAATATTTGCAAAAAGCCGTAACTAATATCGTCGGTGAAATGCAAAAATT